CTTGATGAGAACATCTGGCTCAGAACAGGCTCCGAAGCAGCCATGCATCCTAGGAAAAACAAAGGCTTCCAGTCGGCAGAATAAGAAGACATCAAGTAAGAAAAAAACCTTAGGGAACAAGTCCTTCTGGCTTCTCTGCTATGTTCAAGTGTGTGGTCTAGGTGTATCAGATGGACTCTGGACAGGCGTAAGTCCAAGTTGGACTGAGGAGATCTCCCAGGTTCTGTGGAGACATTAAAGCATGAATTCCAGAGTCATAGACTTGAATTGTTGCTCATATAAAATCCAGGTGATTTGGGGCAAGCCTTCTAAATTCTCTGAGCTCTAGATTGCTAGTCCATAAAATGGAAATTTAAAAATCATAGTTCATAAACTATTTGAAGGTATTAAATTAAAGGTAGAAGTTTTGACAACATGAAAGTTACTCCAGTGATGATAATCTGGAAACATATCTTATTCAGAGTTGTAACCTCAGCCCTCAGCTCAATACTTAATACAAAACATGCCCTTGACAAATATACTGAGTGAAAGAATGTATGAATGAATGCTCTAGTAAGGTAAAAGATTGGGGATCTAATTCTGAAAATGGGAGGAGACAAGAACTAAAACTTTAACTAGCATTTGGTCTGAATTGGTGTGGGCTTAACATCTCAGCCTCTCTGAACCAGAAGATGTGAAAAACTAAGGCTGTCAAAGGACTGTGGGAACCTGGAAAGGAGGCATCTCTTTTTCTGACAAAACACACAAACACTCCCCAACCCATCTGACCCCCATTTACCAACTTTTCTTCACCACAGAGCCCAAGAAAGAGGAGACTAAAGTCTGGGCTTGCAGACTGCGGGAAAGAAAGAATCTCATAGTCTATGAAGAGATCAGTGACCCTGAGGAAGAAGACTAACTCTGTAAGTGACCCTTTAGTTCATCCCCCACATCTTTGTAAAACGTACTGTCTGGTCCATCAACAGATGAATGGATTTTTTAAAAAGTATATACATAGAATGGAATATCATGTAGCCATAAAGAGAAATGTAGCCCTTATGCATACCACAACATGGATGAACCTAGAAAACATTACGCTGAATTAAATAAGTCAGTAACAAAAGGACAAATACTGTATTATCTCACTTATATGAAAGAGACAAATATGTAGAAATGAAAGATTATTAGTGGTTACCAGGAGTGGGAGGTAAGGCAAATGAGGGAGCCTTTGTTTAGAGGCCATTGAATTTATGTTAATGGTGGAATGATTTGGAAAAGTGTAGAGATAAAGATCGCCCAGCATGAAGAACATAATGAATTGTACATGTGGAAATTTTAAAATTGATGAAGGTATTGTTGTATATATTTTCACCGTAATAAAAAAATTTTAATGTTAGGATACGACTATCCTATCTTGTCACTTGTTCCCCAAATCATTCCCTTCTCCTAATCCCTTGGAGTGCAAAATTAAGGCTAAATGATGAGACTTTTTGTGCTCTTTCTACTTTCTGCTCTGTATATCCTGAGATCTTTTCTACCCAGGCTGCCGTGGGCGTCTAAGCCCCAGGTCAGATCCCGATGCATAGGCCACACCTTCCTCTAGCCTAGGAATTCAAATGATAGAGGAAGGAGATACTGAGGCATGAACAGATCTTCTCTGAGGAGCAAAGGGAAGTGTTTGTAGATCATGAGATAGGGAAGAATCGGAATGTGCAGGATCTTACAAGGTCAGGAAAGGAGTTGGGTATTGATTTATTAGACAGTAAGAACTCATTTATTTTCCTTCCCTCTCCTTATCTCAACTCAGGTATGTGATGTGTGCTTATGATGAGGAACACAATCTGGTGGTCTTTCAAGACTATCAGCATCCTATACCTGCTGTGTCATCAAGTGGAGCTGTGTACTCCTGGCCATCAAGTGTATAGCAACTGAAAGAAAGCTCACAGCAGTTAAAAGTTAAGCATAAGTTTTCTTACTATATGTCAAGCACTTGATTAGATATTAGAGTTTCATTGACAAGCAAAGCATAGATCTAATGCATAGTTTTGTCTGTGTGTCTATGGACCTGCCTCAGAAAACAAATATTGTTAGATATTCTCTGCATACAACAACACTGTCTCCTCCCTCACCAGATGTGACTGAGGAAAGTTCTGGGTGTTTAATTCTCAACATTTTTCTCAGCACTTATACACACACACACATGCACCCATGATGTACCTTTATGAGCATCTCCAACCAGCTTTTCTCCAGTACCAGTATGTCCTGGAGAGGTCCTTCTCATCTGCCAACCCTCGTCATTCATTTACTCTAGAACAGTTACTGATAGTTAATAAACATTTACGAGTTTTTGCCCATTTTTTGCTCCTCTGGTCTTGTGTACACAGCTCTGGGTATGTATGTGAGGATACATTCTTAGATTCTGAGAAGTGGAATTCCTGTATCAAAGGGGTCATTCATTCAACAAATACCTAATGAGCACATGGGAGCTCTGGTAGCGTAGTACCTAAGGCACTTGACTGCTAACCAGAAGGCTGATGGTTCAAACCCACCAGCCACTCCTCGGAAGGAAGATGGGAAAATCTACTTCCGTAGTGATACTGCCTCGGAAATCCAAGGAGTGGTCACTATGAGTCGGTTCTGACTCGAGGGCACATAACAACAACAACAACAACAACAAGCACATACTATGGTATCCAGTGTTGTTCTAGGTGCTGAGCAGACATCAGAGAACAAAGCAGACAAATGTCCCCACCCATGAGGAGTTGACATTCCGGTGGAAGATGTTTCCAGATTTTATTTCAATAGATCCTTTACACCCAGTCCTGAGGCTGGGATTCTGTGGCAGGTGGTTGGACGCCTTGGCCTTTGCTTTCTGAAACATATTCAAAGTCAGGGACTGAGCTGGTTCTTTTGGTGGGGTGTGTGTGGGAGGAGAGAGGGATAAAACAGTCACCTGGGGGCATGGGAGAATCAAGGAGGAAAGGTAGGCAGTGAAGCATGTGATGGAATGGAGAAGTCCACTTAGTTGTGACGGGGACAACAGATAGAATAATCTATTGGGCAAAGGCATGGAACTGCCTATTAAGGGTCTCACGACCAAGAAGTTGGAGCCTGGGGCGGGGATGAGGAGTCGAGGATGGACCAGTCCTCTCCTAGATGTACCATAGTTGCACAGAGAAATAAGACAGTCAGCTCTGGGGAAGGGAAGAGGTGAATCCATTTTAGCACAAACACATTGTGTGTGTTGGAGATAGTAAGGCTGCCTCACCTTCTACCAGACATCACACATCAGCCCCTAACCCCACAAGGCAGGAGGTAGAATTAGTGCTGTTTTGACCATCTTTGGCCCATCACCTCAGTCCCCTGACTCCCATCCGGACATGGAAGGCCCCCATTCTCCTGCTGAGGCCTCTGTCTCCCCTGCTGCTGCTTTAGTCCCACCTCCGGGCCCCATCTACCATCCCAAAAAGACAGGAGGAACTTTAAAGGGACAGATGATTACCTCTGGAAGGAGAAATGTGAGAATCAAGGCTTGCTTGAACTCTTTTTTTTTTTTTTTAATTGTGATTTGGGTGAAGATTTACAGAGCAAATTCACTTTCCATACAGCAGTTCACATATACTTTGTCTCATGTCATTGACCAAAGTTTACCACAATGCAACAGCTCCCCTCCCACTTCCTCCCAATAGTTACCTCTTCCCTGTGTCCCTCGATGCGCTCCTGCCCCCTGAGCTGTCTCCCTGTGCATAAGCAGCCCTTCCTTCTGCCATGATTGTTCTCTCCAAGGTGTGTATCTACTTGAGGTAAATGTTTAACTCACATGCCTCTATTTTGTTTGGCTGGAAACCACAGGTGTGGGTTCAATTCCAGACCTGAATGGCAGCTAGGGGCCATAGTCTTAATGGTTCCAACAGGCTCTATTGGACAAGCAAACCTGGTCCCCACCTTTTTTTTCCTCCAAATGATTTTGAGTTTTGTTCCACATTGTTCTCCCTCTCTATCAAGGATCTCCTACATAGATCCCCTTCCAAGTGGATGATAGTGGTAGCCGGGCACCATCTAGTTCTTCTGGTCTCATAGTCGTATACACTGCAGATCGGATGGTGTACCAGTCACTAGGACTAACTGTTTCCGTGAATTTTGGTTTTCTTCATTCTTCTTTGCTCTTGACGAGGAGAGACCCATTGTTGGCTTGCTTGAACTCTTACTGATCATTGTGACTCCAGGCTTGGGCCAAGGCTGCTAGGCTGCAATTGGTTCTACCCTCTCACACATGCATACACTATGACAACGGCAGAAAACAGTATTGCTGTGCACACAGCAGCTGTAGGGGTAGGGAAGAAAGCATGGTGGGGGTGGGGACAGATGTGAGCATCCACATGATCCCACTCTGTCCATCATGTTCCCCATGGTACAGCCTTCCTCACAGGTGTTACCCCTTACCACAGAGCCAGCTCCTAGGAGCTGCATAATGAGGACTTCCTAGTTTATCTAAGTCCTTGCCTGCTCCTCTGAAAATAATAATGCCTTGTCACTCACTGTCACACCTCTGTGTGGCACCAAGCCCAGGTGTCTGCACTTCTATAGGCCAAGAACAACGTCCACAGAAATAGGGGCAAGGATGTCCAGTTCACTGGATCTCCCTGCTCATCTTATTTTCCATAATAATTGTAGAAAGTGCAATTCATATCTTGTGCTCTCAATGTGTCTGGCCCAATACTAAACTTTTCAAATGGATACTCCCATTTATCCTCACAACCACCGTCTGAAGGCAAACACTACCATCATTGTGCCCATATTACAAAAGAAAGGTTGAGGCACAAATGTTAGGAGTCTTTCCAGATCTCCAACAATTGGTATGTGCAGGAGCAGTTAGGTTTGGAACTCACCTTGACCTCTGAAACATTAAGGAGGACAAGTGTATATAGGGGGAAGAGGAGGATGGATCTCGGATGAGCACAAGTTTTGTCCAAAATCTCAGGATAAAATATGTGGGATTATTTTTCCAAGGCGGGAAACGCCCAGAAAGAGAGGGTGTATGGAGGAAGAGGCAAGAGTCCTGGGAGTGGAGAACAGAGATACACAGGGTGGGCAGAAGAGGGGCAGACAGAGAGACAAAGGACATCCAGGGCCAAGTGTAGGCTATCACAATCACCGGAGGGAGGAGGCACCAAGAAGGAGATGTGAGTAGTCAGCTAGACCCAGGGACAGAGATTCCCCAGAATTATGATCGTCCCTTGCTTGTCACTGAAGGAAGAGGTGGATGCTGACAGGGTCAGCATGGACATGGATCTACCTGTGACTCAGAAGCCCTGGAAAGATGGTATCCACAGGTTGGATCCCACAGCATACAGGAAGGAGATGGGGAAGGACAGCTCATAGAGATTCAGTCAAAACGATGAACATTTTTCCTTACATTCCTTGGTTATATAGAGCATTTCTCCCCACTTCCTCCTCCACCTTCTGTTCCTCCTCCTCCACCCCTTGTTCTTCCTCCTCCTCCATGTGACAGATTCAAATTCTGAAATGCAGAGTGACTCTGTTTTTGCCAGACCTCAGAAGTCAGTCTATACATGGCCCCAAGTCCAACCACAGCCAGCCCTTTCCCCGGACCAAGCCTGGGGCCCAGTGTGGATGGATATGCTCTTCTGATGAGAATTCCAAATGACTTTTTTCCTCCCTTCCAGCCTGTTTTTTCTCTCTTTCAACAATATTTTTAAACTGGTTCTAAAACCAATCCATTTTTTGTGGTAGAGAATTGGGGAAATGGAGGAACATGTGAGGGAAAACAGATCCATCATGAGAAAAGGAGATTGAGTTTTATTCACTAAGACCCACCGTGAAAAATACATTTTGTATTGCAACCACACACAAAAACAAGACTAAAACAAATGCTTTGCAAAACAATACCCTTATATA